AACATCACATTGACCCTCATAAGCATATATGACTACAGTATTTTTAACTTATTAAAAATTTTTGTTGGTCTATATTTTATTTTACTGAAAACATTTCATGTTTCTTTTTTCTTGTTTTCTTAATTTTATTGAGAAACAAATAGCAATGAGACAGTTTCAAATCAAATTGGTAGGACAGTTTCAATAATGAACACATTGCATACTGTCATCCTAGTGGTTATTTATTGTACAAGATGTGGACATGATATCATATTTACAAACACTATTAGCACAAATCTCTCTATTCATTAAGAGAATGCAACTATATATCTATCCTAACCACTTTGAATACACAGATACAAAATGGTCATTCATCTGTATCCCCTTTTTTTTGCTTAGTTCCATCACATTTCATGTTTCTTAATGAGTCTACTATCTATAGTGAGTATACATTTAATATCCTTAAAGAATATACATTTAAATCCTCAAAGAAGTAATTCATTTTCTATTGTACAAACAAAAGCGAAAAGTCACATACAGTTGTTGGTTGACTTCAACATATGTTAATAATCGAGACCAGAAGCAAACTGTCTAGTTGTACTAATTATTATTTAACTGAAGTTAACTAATTTTGACCATTAAATAAATAAAACTCTCCATGATATTTGACTAACGTTATTGGCTTTGGTATTCACCATCCAAATGATTACAGCCCATCCAGCACTTGAAGAGACCATTTTTTCTCTACTAAAGATGAGAACTGAGATTATTCTCAGCTGCTTTGATGAAGGACAAAGATGAATGGAGAAAGGTCAGCATGAGGGAAGAACCAAATGCTTTCTTCTGTACACACGTAGCACCCACAGCACTGGATGCAGATACGAATATAGAGGGAAGAGGGTATAGATGATCAGTGCTTTTTTTAAAGAAAAAATATTAAAATAATAAAAATCTATTGTAAATCAAAATTCACCTTCCAAAGCACAGAACATTACCACTTACCTAAGCTGAGGAAGTTGTCGCCCTGCTGCAGCTTACCTGGTCCTCCTGCTGTTTCCAGCCAGCACTCCCACACTCAGGAAGCCCCTCCGCTAGCTCCATCTCCTGCTTCTTCTGCTACTTGACCACTTCCTGCTTCTTGAACATGAAATAGGCTTTGCCTCAGAGTCTCCCTTTCCCTTTGCTTGTCCCTGGAGCCCAGCAATGACCTCCAGACCCACTTCCATATACCTCTCAGGATATGCCTTCTTGATTCTTCTTTGCAAAGGACCATCCCTAACATCTGACCCCAAGTCATACTCGGGTCCTCCCCTTCTCTAGCATGGCACTGACTCATGCACTCTGAGGGACCCCACCAATGGAAGCCCTGCATATCAGGGATTTTTTTTTT